TTGTTTTGAAACTCGTCGGGATATCATCGTTATTCCTTTCGTATCTTTTGGGATACTCTTGAACTTTTCGAAGACTAAAAACAAAAGAAAATTAATCCTGTGGAGGTTTGTCACGCTGAATTGAGAAAACATTACGAATAAGGTCTATTGGACTTCGAACTTGCAAGTATATCTATAAGTAAAGAGGATCTACAAACATCTACATTGATTTCTTACTCATTTTTATGAATTCAGTCTTCCCGCGTCCAACTATCAGATGCGGCCCACGATTTTTTGGCCATCGTCTGCACAATTCTCATCTGCTCACGCTGCTTGGTTTCGACATTAACCATGTATGAACTTTGAGCTACTTGTTCAATTAGTTCGCGCCATTCTCGTTCTCCACAAATGAAGTTACTGCCTTTGTCCGGATGACACTTTTCAGGGAGGACCCGTTGATTCATCATACGATACGGAAAGCGTTCAAGTAATCATTCGTGTCCATGCTGTATAATATTTAAATATGGACAGCTCTAGATGACACACAAATATCGCCTGCGATTACTTCTCCATCCCTTGGATTGATACAAATTGTTACACGTAATCAACTGCAACACGTGCAAACGCACGCAAGGGTAGCTTTGCTGATAATATTCCCAGTCGCGAATCTTTTCTCTACGGCTTGCATTATCCAGAAACGAGTTGATGAACAATGATAGGGTCTGATTTGTTCCAAGACAATTATTACCCTTTTCACAGATGGTCTTTGACGTTCAAATTGGTTACCCAGTTTTTTCTTGGCAGTATAATTGGAAATCGAGCGTTGTATAGTAAGTAGTTTGCAGACAAACAGACAGACAGACAGACAGACAGACAGACAGACAGACAGACAGACAGACAGACAGACAGATAGGCAGACTTTAAGTTATGAGGTAGTGAGTTCTATTTCATCATACATTTATATGAAAATGACCCTTTATAGTACTCGGTCTTTGGGACACGAGGAATCTCTATATTTAGTTCTTGGTCTCCAAGTAGAGATTTCTAAGGGTTATTTTCCTAACATTTTGAGAAAGATCACTAATTTATGTAGGTACAGCATGGTTAACTGAATCATGCATTAATAAACACAAGTGTTTATCTCTTCGAGATGCCAAATAATCCCAATTAAGGGAATTCAATACCTCCTTGGATCTAACATCATAACCTTGAAAAGTTATTATTCGACCAGAACGGTTTTGTACTTTGCTGGCGAGTCCTTTATCATTTTAAATTGCCCCAAACAACATCACAATAGTCGAAAGCAGGCTGTATAAGAGCGTTGTGTATCATTTTAAAAACATCTAAGGGCAAAAAATCACGAGCCTGTTTTAGACCATTTATGGAGCGGTTTACTTTGGAACACAGATTTTCAATATACTCATCCCATTTAAGGTTTTGATTAAGGCATAGTTAATTCCGCTCCATTAACTATGACTAAAGCAAACGCCAAGATATTTTGATGATATTTGCTTATCTCCAATGTGAATTGGGATAGTCATCTCTAAATTGGAGAGCCTGAAATCTGAGCCCATAAACATATACTCAGTTTTAGTAGTATTTTAAACTAAGTTTGTTTTCCAACAACCACTGGTTTACATTAATTGAATCCTCATTTAAATTAATCTGCATTTCAATTGTTGACAAAGAGGAAGTACTCAAAGAGTGTCATCGGCGTACATATGCGGTTCGATGAATAGAAGACACCCCGGAAGATCATTTATGTATAAAAGAAACAGTAAAGGTCCCAAAATGGAGCCTTGAGGTACTCCACAGCTTACTTTGCTGTTTTACTCCGACGAAGGACTGGCGTCCGAAACGTCAGTAAGTTTTTTCATCTTTTCACGGTGTATAATTTACCTTTTTATCATTATTGTTTCATTAGAACGCAGCTCACACTAGTTTTTAGCTAGTTATATCTTCTTGTCAAAGGTTGAGATAAACAACCCTTAACAATACATTGTTGCTGCCTATTTGACAAATAAGATTTAAACCAATCAAGAGATGTCTCTTTCATGCGATAAAGTTCTAATTTCCTTTGCGAAACAGAGTCAAAAGCTTTTGCTAAGTCAAGAAATACCACTAGATTTGATATACCTTTGTCAATATTCAAATACCACTGGCTTGTGGTATTGAGAAGAGCTCAGTATAACGGTGGAATGCAGAAGAGGACGAAATCCAGATTGGCATTTAGTAAGCAAATTATTTCTATTTAGATAAGTATACAATTGATCATACACTACTCTTTCGCCCATTTTAAATATGGCAGGTAAGAAAGAGATTGGTCTATAGTTTTGCGAATCCGATCTATCATTGGATTTAAATAACGGAATAACTTTTGCTATTTTCCATTGGGATGGAAAAAGACCCGTATCAATAACTTTATTTATAATTAATGGTAAGGAAGCGGAAATAACTGGCGCAGCTCCTTTTAAAAGTCTGCACGAAATGTTGTCCAGTCCTGTAGCCTTTTGAGAAGACAGTTTATTTGAGAGCTTTTGAACTACCTCCAAAGTGGCATGTTGTTAATCCGATGACGTTGCGACCGTGCAACAAGCGCTACTTTGCTACTGCGCTACCATACTACATGTGCTACCGTGTTAAATGTACGACCATGAAATCCGACATTAACAACATATGAATATATAATACATTTCAAGCTTAGTAAGCAAAATGAAACATGCCACATGCAAGGTGCAAGGTGCAAGGTGCAGCAATGCAAGAGTCATTTAATAAGCAAACAAACCTTCATGACGATTTCAATCATAATAGAGGCTTTTCACCATCACGTGATRGCAGCCATGACAGGAGGCAGGAACAATTGAATCTGGTCTAGTCTGATTTACATGAGACTGAAAGAATTCACTTTCCGAGGGGAAAAATGCTCTGTTGTTGTGCCTCCTGTCATGGCTGGCATCATGTGATGGTGCAAAGCCTCTATTGCTTTTTTTCTGTCTAGTCATTATAATTTTCATTCTTTTTTGCTGAGGATACGCTTAACGCTTTCAAAGAAGGCTTTGCCATAGTATGAACGTACTGAGTCATACTGGTCCTTGGTTATCTTGATTACATGTTCAGGTAACCTCTGTAGTTCTCGGCTTGTGGACATGGCAAGCGTCTGGAGAATACAACAGTGAACAAGAGGGATCAATTAAATGCATCATGTAGTAAACAATTGTTTGTTTGTTCACGGTCTGTGACGTTGTGTTTGTTATTCTTTCTCCCTCCCTTTCTTCCATTCCTTATTTCTTTTCTTACTTCCTCATTTATTTATTTTTATTTATTCTTGGTTCAATATTTCGCCCATTCCTCCACTCTCTCTCTCTCTCTCTCTCTCTCTCTCTCTCTCTTTCTTAGATATATAGGTTCTTTATATTGATTATATTTATTGTACATATTTTCTTATTTTATACTTATACATAACGGCTTTCATGGAAACCAAATTTGTAATTTGAAGTAGTTCCGTTTTTAAATAAATAAAGTGCATTCTCTCTCTCTGTCTCTTTCTCTCTTTCTTTTATATAAAACTCTTTTCAGACTCTCTTTAACATTCCAAGTGCCCTATTTCACAGGTACAGAGTCATATGGAATTCTATTGCTTTTGCAATATAGCAAAGATATTTTAAGATTTAAAAGATTATTGTATTCTGATCAAAATAACAATTCTCCAAACTATGGCAAAGAAACGAATCACATTCGTCGTACTATTTCGAATTCGTACGTATTCGTTGTACTATTTCTATTCACAAAGCGTGTTTGAGAGAACGTTTTCACAAATCGTCTTGGAAAAAATCATAAAATCCTGTAAAAAGGATGGTTAAACACAAACATTTTACATAAAAAAGTTTGGTAAATACTACTTAACAGGTCAAATAGAAGTGACAGATCCTCAAGATTTGTATACGTTATGTGCACATTTTTGCTCGTGCAAGCGGTAAACCAAGGATCCAGGGGGAGGGTCGGGGGGTCGCGACCCCCTGTCATTCCTGAGGTCAAATGCCCCCTGTGGTAAGGGGGGGGGGGGAGGGGTCGCGACCCCCTGTCATTCCTGAGGTCAAATGCCCCCTGTGGTAAAAATGCTATCGGGATTCCTTTGCCCACAAAACTTTCCCCTGAGACCCTCTCCCCCCCTTCAAAATAATCCTGGATCCGCCCTTGTAAACATAGTTGGGGACTTTAAAACAACGCTGGATTTTGTTATGGGATTTTTTGATATTCTCTTCCAAATCTACAGCAAAAGAAACCTCATACCTTGGGTAAGTTTTACGGCTTTGCTTACCTGATACATACAAGCTCTTTCAATATAGTAAGTGTCATTGAACGTTTCTGCCACAGTTTTCCCCACGACAGCTACACCATGATTACACATGAACAAGACCCTTTTGTTCCCGATGTGCTTTGCGATGCGTTCTCCCTCGTCTGTGTCCAAACTCAGTCCACTGAAGTCTTTGTCGTATGCAAATTCATTGTAGAAATAACAAGAATTTTGATGGTACATGTCGAAGGGCAAGTCCTTCAGTATGCCTGAATATTAAATAAGAAAGATATATAGTTATAGACCTAGAGGTTATAAACTCATCCAAATCCAACAACTTGAAAGAACACAATGACTGCAGAACAAAAGTATTTGAACACGAATCATTGGATAAAATTGGCAAACAAATTGTGCAATTAACAGGTCTGCTGTGAAAACATTGTTATGCTGTGCACATAATCATAGCCTTTTTTTAGTTTGTTTACATCTTTAAAGTTGACACTACCTACTGCTAAGGGGCTAGCACTTTATTTTTGTTTTTGGTGTCCTAGGTTCTCAGCACATACATCAAAAGAGAGGCTAGAGTACGCTGACATTTTGACGAGTACTGAAGGGATTGCTATTGCATGTAAGATCCTGCTCGTGTAATCCACCCTTACCTAGAGCCGTGACATAAGGAGGGTGAAGATGAAAAACACAAAGAGCGTCTGGCCTCGCCTTATGAATACCCAAATGGATCGTCCATGCTGAAGCTTCTACTTCCTCCTGACCCTCAACGACTTCACCCTTAAAGTTCACCCCAACCAATAAATCTGGTTTGGCCTGGATTTCGAAACATAAGACAGTCATATAAGATATAGCATGCATTGATCGAGTGCAGGAGGCACATGGCAGCCATATATACCATATGCAAATATCATTTAGTCATTTGTTTAAGACAACTGATAAAAACTTGATAGTCTCTCTTTCAACATTTACAGCACACTATGAATGCTGCTTCATGTTAAAAAACACGATTCAACACATAAGGAAACAAAACAATTAAACAGCTAAACATGTCCATCCCGGGAACCTATGAGATTAGACAAGAATAAATGTTCGACAATTTTTCACCTCCATTTATTACAAAAGTTAATTTTAAAGTTTTTGATTCAATTGAATTACAGTACGTACGCTAACCAGTATCGTGCCCAAAAATATTACGCTAAAATTGCGTAACCCATAGTTAAAGTTTCTGAATGGTTTGCTAGTTTGCCGTCGAAGCTACATAATTATTGTCACGTGAGTGGAGTAATACGGCCTTTTCCTAGTCCAGATTGTGGACCCTTTCCTTTATCGCTCCGCTTTTGTTGTTGGGGTTCCTGTGTCGCGAACAGGAAGCCCAAAAACAAAAGCGGAGCGGTAAAGGAGGGGGTCCAGCGTCTCGACTAGGCCTTACGCAGTGAACTAAATAAACCTTGAAAATTGGGTCTCGAAATACTGTTATTTCAATGGGGAAATGTCTCAAAATCTAGACTAAAGATACCTAAATGGTGAATGTTCGCATGTGTATAATAGTGGCATTGCCATCACATTCTACATTCGGCGTTTTCAAATGCTGGTTGTTGCTTTTAGGTGCAAAGTAGTTTAGCTCGCAGTCGGCTCTCACTGAAGTATTCTTCGAGATTTCAGGTGTGCGTGTTTTTAGCAAACAATCGCATATTTTTTATATTTTTACTTCCTATGACAAGCAGCGACAAATCAAAGACTTTCTCTCAAAACTTTTATTATTTCTATTGATAAGCTTAATTTTATAAAATGAAATGAATGAAATATTAAAAAGGAGTACATATTACAACAAATTCGGTTGTTTTTAATCAACTATCGTATGTTTCTCGTTCAAGAAAAAGCAGCTTCGTTCACCTCCTATCGCAGGGTGCTATCGGTAAACAAAAGAAGACTTTCATTCAATGAGTGATATATTTTCACTATGAGAATTCGCTCACAAAGCCCTAGGCACAAATGGAATAAGATATGGGAAAAAATCGGCCCTCTGGTAACTGGTCCCAACTACTTCGTAATCAAGCACCGGCTAATAGTTCGGGGTGCGGGGAAACAGGAAAAGAGAATAAATAATTCGGTGGAATCAAGGACCTACTCTCCCAAAACTCACAACTCTTGGCTTCAAAGTTGGAGAGATATGCAATAAACACTGAAAGAATACTATAAAGATGAGTGAAAATGACATAGGCAATAGGGAAAATGATCAAACAACGGAAATAACTACAAGTTACGCCTTTTATTAAGGGATAGGTCTCCGCCATAAATGAGATAGCGTCCGTCGTGGCATATTCTCAGCGTAGTGGGTTCTATAACGGGCATGATGATGGAAGGAAGATTCACTTGGTCGATCTTACCCCAGAGCGTCATAGAGCCGTTTTTGAAACGGTCTAAAAGAGTATGAGTGATGAACTCTTCAAAGCCAAGGCAAGATGTGCGCCCTGGAAGTCCCACGAAATGGGATGAAAAACTTTTCCACGTTCACATCCCATTTTAAGTAGGACATGAGTTCTTCTCGTTTTGGCGAATGATATCTAACTTTCCCCACATATCTATGTGACGGCAGATTTTCTCCGCCACAAAGTGGTGAGGATCCCTAAACAACAGGTTCCGCGCCGAAACATTGACCATGCAATAACTCGGCAACCGATTCGGCTAGGGATAACGGCGCTGCTGCGCTTGGGGTGTCTCCCTTTCAGTAATACCAATAAACATTTACTGAACAGGTTTTCACGTCCCCAGGCGAGAGGGAGTTGTTTACATATAATCGCACTCGATCACACCCGGTCTCAGGAAGGTGATAATCAATCAACTTTAGGATCTCACCGATCGCACTGTAGCTGTTTGCATATGATTGCAGCTGATTGAATATTCTGAGTCTGTGGTGCGTCAATCAGCAGTTTTATCATAATGCTCTCACTCGAATCGAACAACATGGACGGCGCCATTGTTGTAGGAGTAAATTTCCTCTTATTTCTGTAGACAAGAAATCAAGAAAAAAGAGGAGGTTTTGGATACGTAAGATATTCCAAGAGAGGGAGCGACAAGGAGCTTTCCATCAACTTTTTCGAGAGTTGAGGAAACACGATCGAGAATATTTCGTTGAAATTACGTTAAAAGCCATTGAGCTTTTCGAACTCTCTAGGAGTTTGAACTGAGTCCCTCCTGCACCCGAAGGTAGATTTTTTTGGCGCTTCAGCCACCGAATGTTTCTGAACTATTTCTTCTCGACTTCGGAAGCATCCTTTTTCAATAAATCACCAACTTTCTTCCAAGCGTTATGCCTTTTGCTCCTGTCTTTGAAATCCTTACTATTTCTGTTATATAGGCAGTCATATTTCCTAATTTCTTCCATAAATTTGTCTGAGTCTAGTTCTTTTTCAATCTCCATCTTGATGACTGTCGAATTACACGTGAGAAGTGTTGATAAACACAAAGCATTGCATCATGGGTAATTTAGCAAATTATGGTATACATTTGGATCTCACCCGATCGCACTGCGGCTTACATAGAATCTCACCCGATCTCACTCGATCGCTATGGCAAGCCATACCATTCAAAAGTGATTGAGTTTGCAACTGCCTGTTGAGAAATCGACTGATGATTGAGAAT